TGAAAGGCGTTCTGTTTCAGGCCAGCCAGCTTGTACTTCATCTGGTTACTTTACCCATCTTTCCTTCAATTTGAGAGCACAAGAAGAAAGGAAACTAAAAATCACTGAGTGCCTACTACGTGCCAAGAACCAAGTCAGCAATTTCACTGTCCTAAGAGTCCCACATTGCCCTTTGAAGAGGGAGAAACAGAGGCCCATGTAGCCCCTCGCGGCAGAGAAAAGAGTGAAGCTGGGCATCTCAGCTTCTGCAGCCTGTGCTCTTTCCAGACACAGCGACCTTCTCTTTACAAGGCCATTCTTGCTGCACGTCTCAATCCTACCCCAAAGCCAAAATTCCCCCAGTTGAACAGGATAAACATTCCCATGGCAAAGGAACGCTGTGTTCCCCAGAGGAGATGCAATCACGTTGTTCCTGCTTAGGCTATGTGTGCTTATGAAATAGAACTGGGCTGAGGGCCTGGACACGGGCTGAGGGCAGCCACCCCTCCCCTGAATCCCCCAGCTGTGCCCTGCAAGGCAGTTAGAGTAACAGAAGGGTAGGGAGCCCAGGGTGGAGAGCTGGGTCTAATCTTGACTTTGCAGCAAGCTGCTGGTTTTCCTGGGTCTCTGCTTCCTCTTGCCATCACAAGGCAGTAGCTTGCTTCGAAAAGTGCAGAGTTAAATCCATGTGAGAAATAATTCTTATTTTGCTTTCCTGGGCATTGATTTCTCTATCTGTAGTTGCAAATGTTGTCCACATACAGGAGAGACTCAGAGGTAGAGAAGAAAGTACCTTTTTGGAGATGACTCTGGAGAGAGTACTTCCCTCGTACAATCACTCATTCTTTCCAAAATCATTAGACACATATTGAGGGCTTACTATGTGTCAAGCTCTCTGCCAGGCAGAACAAATACAGAAATCAACAAGATAAAGCCCCTGTTCTTAAAGGACTCCTAATGTATAAGCCATTTTTTCATCAAAAAAAAATATGTATGTATATACATATAAGTGTTTGAATTGTCATGGTTAGAAAATAATCCTGAATATACCCATTCTCCACTCCTGTATACTTAAGCCCTATCACTAAAAAATATTTCCTTGACTATATAATATACATTGTTCTCATATTTCAAAATTTATTAAATCAGCACACATCTTGCAATTTTGATTGGCAGCATTTTCTTCTTGGCGATACACCAAATAATGATCATCTTACAGATGATCACATCTTAGATTTAATGAAATATATTTCATTTCACTTTTCAATTGGGCTTTTAAAGGAATTAACAGCCACTGAATTTAACATAAGGTTTTTCCAGCACATTTCTAGTTCGTCCAGATGTATGGTGTCACACACATCATGTGTCTAGATAACCTGATTGCCCCTCATTTTTTCTTCTGGATGGCTTGGAAGCAATCTCATACCAATGGGCCAGGATGCTGTATCACCTCTTGGCCACCAGAGGGAGAGAGCACCTTGGTTCTCAGGCTTGCTGGTTTTCCCTCTCTCTTAAACCATTCCAGCATGCCCCCTCCAGGGCAATCTGAAACACACTCAATCTCCACCTGCAAGGTCAGAATAGAGGAAAGGGCTCTCTTCCAGAGCAATGGCAGTCAGAAAGAGGAATTAGTTCTGAATGATGTTTGCAAACCTACAATAAAAATCAGCTATGGTTTAAATGAGCAACTCTGGGGAATGAGGACACGTGTTAGACATGGCAGAGTTCTTGCCACAAAAAATGCAGAGCTGATGAGTGGCCCCATGCCCTTCTTAAACCATTCAAGACTCAGGATACTTGTAAAGTTGTGCAAGGAAGTTTTCCCACTCCAGCAATCACCTGTAGCCTTCTATTCTTCCTCCTTTTCTTCCTCCCTTTCTTCCTTCCCTCATTTAACTATTTATTGAACATCTGCTATGTGCCAGGCACTTAGCTAGGAGCTAAGAATAGAATACAGCAGTAAACAGAACAAAAAAGGTCACTGTCCTCATGTATCTTAAGTTCTGGTGGGGAGACATACACTATAAAAATAAATCTATCATCACTTGGTACAAAAAAAAAATGCTATAAGGAAAGACATTAGGTCCCATGAGAGTATGATAGGAGAACATGGTCAGGAGCTGATCTGGGCAGTCTTCTCTGATGAGTGGTAATGGAGACAATGCTTGAGGGAAGAAGAGGAGTTTCTAGGTAACTAGCAGGGGAGAGCCCATCTGGGCACACAGACCAGCATTTGCAGAGGCCCTGAGGTGGAAAGTGTTCAACACTTAGGTACTGAAAGGAGGCAAGTGTGGAACTTAGAGACAAGGGGCAGGAGAAACCCAGGGTGGGCTAACACATAACAGGAACATGGTGGTACAGAGTTCTGTGTGCATGTTTAAGATGCATTTTTCCATCAGTAGCCATTGATGGGATTGAAGCAGGGAACAGACATGAGCAAAGTTGAGTACTGATATGACAGCACTGGTGGCCATGTGGAGCATGGCGTGAAGGAGAAATCTGAGAAGTGAGGTGTCCGATTGGGAGTTACTGGAGCAGTGGCAAGAGGTGATGGCAGCCAAATGGTGACAGTGGGCATCCAGGTGTATTTTAGAGGTAGTATTACTGGATTGGGGGAGGTTAGAGGGGGTATTATAAGGAGTAGCTTGGAATGGAGAGAGGACTTTTCCTGGGACAGGCACCTTTCAGAGAGGACAGGATCTGAGAAGAAAACATTATGAGCTGTTTCAGTGCATTAACTTTATGCTATTTCTGGAACATCCATATGCAAGTGTAAAGTAGACAATTAAATCTGTGAATCCAATGCTCAAAACTGGGCTGGAAATATTAGATTTGGGAGTCATAGGTACACAGATGGAGGATAAAGCCACAGTGAGAGCTGACGTCAGCTGGGTAGGAGCATCAGTAAAGAGAAAATGGTCCAGAACAGAGCTCAACAGAATGCTTATATTTACAGGAGGAGCCAGCCAAGGACAGTGTGAAAGAGCAGCTATAGAGAGGATCAATGTAAATGCCAAAAAGAGGAGAGTGTGTCAAGGAGGGATGGTCAGCTGTGTGGATGCCCTGAGCTGTCTGATGAGATGAAGACCAAAGCATGTTTCAGATTTGCCAACATGGAGGTCTTACAGCAGGGGCAGTAGCAGCAGAAACCAGCCTGGGCTGGCCAAAGATGGAAAGGGGAGTGCCAGGAGTCCGCCCAAGAGGATGGCAAGCATAAATCTAAAGTGACGGCAGCCTACCCAGTTATGCAGTTTTTCTCAGGCAATGTTCAATTGCTTGATGAAAGCCTAGAAGAGATGGAGTGTTGGGTTTAGCCTGGCCAGGATTTCACCACGCAAGCATGAGAGAGGGATTGGGGAGGGCAGAGCAAGGGTGTTGAAAGAAGTAAAGTGACTGCTCCAAAGTCTAAGTTGGTTAAGGAGGGCAGGGGAGATAGGGAGCTGGTGGAGCTAAGGGACTGGAGGTCTCCCAGAAGTGAAAGTGCTGTCAGTGGACGCACTTGAGCAGGTGAGCCTGAAGTCCAAAGGAGAGCATCAGACTCTGGAGATTTCATAGTTTGTGTAAGACCAAGTCCACGTGGTGACTGTGGAAATTAGTGGCTGAAAAGAAGAGGTAGAGAGGGTCACTAGAAATGAGGAACACAAGGGTCTGTGAAGTCAGAGAATGCAGTGATGACTTAATGTCAAAGAGATCAATCTCAATCAATGTACAGACATTGAAGTTACTGAAAATTATTGGAGTAGAGATGAAGATAACTAGAAAGGAGCCCCTCAAGTCTTCACTGAAGGAGTGAATGACCAGGAAGTCAGTAACACAGCAGTGAGCAGTGAGAGGGATAACGTAAGCCTCAAAAAAGAGGGCTTTCTGCACCAGCGAAGTGAGCAGTGGTCTGGAAGCAACAGGGAAGAACAAGAAATCCTTTCATTGGGAGTAGGAAATAGCCCAGGGAAATGGCACTAATGCAAGTAGAGGAAGGGGTCTGGCTCCCCTTTGGAAGAGAACTCTGCATCATTTATCTGGGTCTGCAGTGCTAAGTGTGAGGAACACCAGCACCCATGCTAGGGATCTGCAGACCCCGTCCTAAGATACACTGTCTTGCAACTCAGGGGAGGCAGGGTGGAGCCATGGGGAGAAGTCTAGATCATACTGAGAGGGGACTGTGCAGGTCCAAAGCCACCTGTCATAGGAACAGTAAAGTAAGTGAAGACATAACTGAGCCAGGGGAAGACAAAGAAGAACAGAACGGCTAAGGTGGCTTAAAGAGGAAGGAGAGAAGCACGCACTACCAGCGGGCAGCCACAGTAAGCCAGGAAACTGAGGACCGCAGGCAGAAGTTACTCCACCAGCTAGTCCTGGCATAAACCCTGGCCCCGGTAGTGAAGGGAAAAGGAGTCCCACGTGGAGGGGGAAGGACCTCCAGCCTGGTGCACACAGCTTCTAGTAGATGTTACCAGAACTGCTGCTGCTTCTTTGAACTGTTCCTGGGGAAGGAAAAGGAGGAAGAAGCTGGAAAGGGCACTGACAGCAGAGGGAAGAGAGGAGGGACTAGAGGTCAACCATAATCAACATAAGCTCCATAGCAAGTAAGAAAAGGAGTCGCCCTTAGATCCCCACTCAGTTAGAAGCCCCAGATCTATGTGCGCATATCAAAGAGAAAGTATTTTTACAACTACAGCAGTGAGATAGTACTATGGATAATATAAAAGGTAGAGAAAACATATTTCAGTGATCAGGAAAAAAAAGAGAGGCATCTATTCTAACTGGGTGGTCAGGGAAATCTTCACGGCAGAAATGGACTTTCCTCTGGACTTGGAAGAATGGGGGGATTTTGAAAGATAAGACCACAATGGTGGAGGAGTGGCCCCAGGGCTCTCTGGCAGCACTCTACTGCAAGAGTCATGTATCAGGACCAACTGCATGCCTCCTGCGGCCTCCCTGCAGCCTCAGCCAAGTCCCCCTGGGCCCCATCCTGACTCACTGTTCTCCCCCTTTCCTTTCCGCTTGCAGGACCTAGGAGCGACTGCCCCCTGAAGGAAATGTCTGACACTCATCACAGCAGCCCTCTCCTGACAGAGCCTCTTTCCAGCAGATACAAACTGTATGAGTCAGAGTTTACCAGCCCTAGCTGGCCCTCAAGCCCCCAGGATACACACCCAGCCCTGCCCCTCCTGGAAATGCCTGAAGAAAAGGTGAGGAGTGTCCCTCCCAGGATATTTCACAGGTGGAGGGAAGGGGAGGAAGGGTGATGAAAGAAGCTGCTCTCCCAGCTGCCCAGTGCACGGGTTGCATAATGCCATGGAAGGGTCACTGGCCGGGGAGGCTCTGCCCCAGTCAACGCAGGGTTCCACCCCCTGGTTGGTCCCAGTGGGTCTAAGATAGAAAACGTGTTTCTGTGTGCAACATGATTTTAGAAGCAGGCAGGGAATGCACAGTCACACGCCGGTCTTCCAACCAGTCCCCAAAATCTTTCCCCTTAGACCTGCTTCCTTGAATTACCTTATTGTCTCCCAAAGTAAGGCCTGTGTTCAAATGCTAGCTTTCAACACTCCTTGAACTGATAGAGTGGAGAGGGATCCAGGACCACTAACGTTTGAGTTTTTTTTTAATGAGATATAATTTACATGCCACAAAATTCACCCCTTTAAAGTATACATTTCACTGATTTTTAGCATAATTACAAAGTTTGCCAACATCACCACCACTGAACTCCAGAATATTTTCATCACCTTGAAAAGAAACCCAATACTCATTAGCAGTCACTCCGCATTCCACCGGGCACCACCAATCTACCTTGTGTCCCTGTGGACTTGCCCATTCCGTATGTGTGATGTAAATGGAATCATATAACATATGGCCTTTTGTGAAATGCTTGTGTCATTTAGCATAATGCTTTCAGGTGCATCCTTATTGTAGCATGACTCGGTACATCATTTCTTTTTATGACCCAACAATATTTCATGGTATGAGTGTACCATAGCCTACTTACCCATTCATCCATTGATTGACACTGGGTTGTTTCTTTTTGCCTGTTATAAAAAAAAAAAAAAAAAAAAAAAACAATGCTACTGTGAACATTTGTGTCGAAGTTTTCGTGCAGACATATGTTTTTCTTCTTCTTGGGTATATATCCAGAAGTGGAATTTCTGGGTCACATGGTAAATCTATGTTTAACATTTTAAGGAGCTGCCAAACTGTTTTCCTAAGTAGCTGCATCAGGTGTACATTCTCTCCAGCCAGGTATACATTGTTCCAGTCTACCTCCTTGTCAAAACTCATTACAGTCTGTCTTTTTTATTAGAGCCTGGGTGGATGTGAACTGACATCTCACTGTGATTTTGATTAGTATTTCCCTAATGTCAAATTGATGTTGAACATCTTTTCATGTGCTTAATGACCACTTATATACCGTCTTCAGAAAAATGTCTTTTCAAATCCTTTGCCCATCTTTCAATTGGGTTATTTGTCTTTTTATTGTGGAGTTGTAATAGTTCTTTATATATTCTGGATATTAGGCCCTTGCCAATTGTATGATTCACAAATAATTTCTCCCACTTTATAGGTCTTTTCACTATCTTGATAGTGTCCTTAGAAGCACAAAATTTGTGATTTTAAGTCCAATTTATCTCTCTTGTCTTTGATTGCTTATGTATTTGGTGTCATATCTAAGAAACCATTTTCTTATCCAGGTCACAAAGATTTACTCCTATGTTTTTATCTAACAGTTTTATAATTTTAGCACTTACAGATAAGTCTTTTCTCCATTTTGAGTTAATTTTTGTATAAGGCATTAAGTAGGGGTCCAATTATCCAGTTGTCCCAACACCATTTATTGAAAAGGCTATTCTTTCTCCATTGAACTGTTTTGACACTCATCAAAAATCAACGGACCGTAGGTGTATGTGTTTATCTCTAGACTCTCAATTTTATTTAACTGATTTATATACCTATCCTTATGTGAGTACCACGCTATCTTGATTACGGTAGCTTTGTAGTAAGTTTTGAAATCAAGCAAGATTGTTTTGTCTGTGCTCAGACCCCTGAATTTCTATATTAATTTTAGGATCTGACTTTGAATTTCTGAAAAAAAAAATGAAACTCGGATTTTGGTAGAGATTGTATTAAATCTATAGATCAATTTAAGGAGTATTGCCATTTTTAACAAGAGTAAGTCTTCCAATCCATGGACACAGGATATATTTCCATTTACTTAAGTCTTTAATTCCTTTTGATTTTTTGTAGTTTTTAGTATTGAAAAACTTGTATAAAACCTTTAGTTTTAGGATATAAAGCCTTTCTTGTTAAATTTATTCCAAAATATTTTATTCTTTTTCATACTGTCATAAATAGAATTTTCTTCACAATATTCTTGGATTGTTCCTTGCTCATATATAACAATAAAGTTGATTTTTGTATATTGATCTTCTATCCAGCAAATTTGCTGAACTTGTCCATTAACTTTAATAGGTTTGGTGGGGGGCGGGGAGGTGGTTGAAGATTTTTTAAGGAGTTTCTATACAGCAGAATGTCCCATCTGCAAATGGAGAGATTTTAAATCCTTTCTTTCTAATCTGGGTCCCTTTTGGTCTGTTTTTTTCTTATCTAATTGATCTGGCCAAAACTTGCAGTACATTATTAAATCGAAGTGACAAGAGAACCAACATCATTGTCTCATTCCTGATCTTAAAGGGAAAGCATCCCATCTTTCACCATTATATATAATATTAACTGTGGGTTTTTAGTAGATATCCTTTATTAAGTTGAGAAATTTCCTTTCTATTCCTGGTTTTTTGAATGTTTTTATCAGGAAAGGTTGTTGAATTTTTCAAGTGGTTTTTCTGTGTCTATTGAAACAATCATGTGGGTTTTTTTCTTTTATACTTTCAATAGTAATAATTGCTTGATTTTTTTATACATTGAAACAGTCTTGAATTCTGAGAATAAATCCCACTTGGCCATCATTCTTTTTATATGTTACTGAATCTGGCTTGGTAGTGTTTTGTTAAGGATTTTTGCATCTATATTTATAAAGCAGATTGATCTGTAATTTTCTTTTTTGTGATGTCTTTGTCTGGCTTTGGTGTTAGGGTAATACTAATACTAGCTTCACAGAATGTGATAAGAAGTATTGCCTTCTCTTCTGTTTTTTGAAAAATACTGTTATTAATTCTTTAAAGATTTGGTAGAATGTACAGCCATCTGCACTTGGGCTTTTCTTTGTGGGAAGTGTTTTGTTTGTTGTTTTTGGTTTTGCTTTACTAATATAATTTACTTTGTTATAAGTCAGCTCAGATTTTTCTGTTTCTTCTTGAGTCAGTTTGGTAGTTTTTGCCTTTCTAGGAATGTATCCAGTTCACCTAGGTTATCTGATTTGTTAGCACACAATTATTCATTTCTTTAGAATCCATTTCTTTATAACATTTTTAATTTTTTTAATGTTTATTTATTTTGAAAGAGGGAGAGAGTGTGTGAGAGGGGGAGGGGCAGAGACAGCGGGAGACACAGAGAATCTCAAGCAGGCTCCTCACTGTCAGCGCAGAGCCTGATGTGAGGCTCAATCCCATGAATCATGAGATCATGACCTGAGCTGAAATCAAGAGTCAAACAACTGCCTGAGCCACCCATGCACCCCAACCCATTTTATTTCTTGAAGGTTGGTAGTCATGTCTCGTCTTTCATTTCTGATTCTAGTAATTTCAATCTTCTTTTCTCGTCTTGGTCAATCTAGCTAAAAGTTTGTCAATTTTGACCTTTACAAAGAACCATCTTTTAGTTTCAATGATTTTTCTGTATTTTTCATTCTCTATTTCATTTATTTTCTTGATAATCTTTGTTATATCCTTCACTCTACTTGCTTTTGGTTTAGTTCACTGTTATTCTAGTTTCTTAAAGTGGAAGTTTAAGTTGTTGATACAGAATATTTCTCTTTTTAGCACAGGTCTTTATACCTACAATTTCCCTCTAACACTGATTTAGCTGCATCCCATAAGTTTTGTTTTCATTCATCTCAGAGTAGCTCTTAATTTCTTTTCTGATTTCCTCTTTGATCCATTGATTATTTAGGAGCGTGTTGTTTAATTGCCACATCATTTCCCAAATTTCCTTCTGCTTTTGATTTCTAAATTCACTCCATTATGGTCAGAAACATGATTTCAATCCCTTTAAATTTAGTGATACCTTTTTATCGGTAAAAATGTTTTACTTATCCAACTTCGAGCTGTATTACAAAGCTGTAATCATCAAGACAGTATGGTACTGGTACAAGAACAGACACTCAGATCAATGGAACAGAATAGAGAACCCAGAAATGGACCCACAAATGTATGGCCAACTAATCTTTGACAAAGCAGGAAAGAATATCCAATGGAATAAAGACAGTCTCTTCAGCAAGTGGTGCTGGGAAAACTGGACAGCGACATGCAGAAGAATGAACCTGGACCACTTTCTTACACCATACACAAAAATAAACTCAAATTGGATGAAAGACCTCAATGCAAGACAGGAAGCCATCAAAATCCTCGAGGAGAAAGCAGGCAAAAACCTCTTTGACCTTGGCCGCAGCAGCTTCTTACTCAACATGTCTCTGGAGGCAAGGGAAAAAGGTTTTACTTATCTTATGGCCTAACATATGGTCTATACTGGAGAAGGTTCCATGTGTGCTGTAAAAGAATGTGTATTGCCTTTATAGAAGAGAGAATTTTTGAAGATCCTTACTCCACCGTTTTCATTGATATCCTCAAGACATTTAAGTTTTAATGTAGGAAGGAAGTTGGGGAAATCTATAGACCATCAGCATACAATAGAAGTATAATATGAGCCACACATGTTTGTTCAAATGTCTATTAGCCACATTTTTTAGAAGTAAAAAAAAGCAGTTATTTGATTATATAGTCAGTATAAAGTATCGTTGAGATATTTTACACATTATTTTTTCATAGTAAGTCTTCAGAATATACTTAGAGCACATCTCAATTCAGATTAGCCACATTTTAAGTGTTCAATAGCCACAGCTATTGGCTGTGATATTGGACAGTGCAGTTTAAGAGCAAGCAGTCCTGAACTAGGAGGCCACAGATAGAACCAAGGGCAGATAAACTTGGATGGGGAAGATAATTTACCTTTATTTCACTAACCTCCAATGAACTTTAGTACTTATTTCAATTATAAATATAAATAATGAACTATAACCATATCAGTAGCACCTGAGATTGTTGTCATTGTCACAGATTGGGCTCCCCTAGAAAGCTGACTTTGAGATGGTGATTTTCATGTAAGAAGTTAACTGGGATGTGCCTTTGCAGTCAATAGTTGTAGAAGAGGAAGGGCAACAGGATTAGGCGAAGAAGTTGGGCAATAAGGGCCCCAGGTGACCCTATGGTCAGCTCTAGATCTCAAGCAGCCCTTTAAAGTTGTCCTGAGTTGGGGTGAAGAGGCCCCACTTATTCACTCACTGCTACTTTGAAATTATAATAGATATTGGACTGGCTGTACCTATATGTAGATCATAGGATTTTTTTTAATATTGTAATAACTGCTTCAGTATAACTGGTTTTCTTTGCTATACTATTTATTTTATCCATTTCCAAACATTATTCTGGAAAGAAGTCCACAGCCTTGCCCAGCTGCCACCAGGGATCCATGGCACAAAAGTCTATGAAACCCAACTGTGAAGAATGTGTAGTGGTCCTAGGAAGAGCTGGCCTGTGTGCAGCACTCTGGACCACAATAGAGAATGGACACATGTCTTATGATCATTTGTCTTTATCAGGACACCTGCCAACCTTCCCTATCCCCAAATGCCCTTGCTCTCAAAAAGCTGTATTATTTGATAGTTTGTCATGACTTCTCTTAAAAGGATCTCCGGTCATCCAATGAAGACAGCCATATTGTGAAAATGGAAAAACTCAATGAAAGGAGTAAAAGGAGAGAAAGCGGGGCAGCTCATCGGGGCTCTACAGGCTTGGGGGGCATCAGCCTCTTCCAAGCAGTGGGATACCTCACAGGGGACATGAAGGAGTGCAGGAGCTGGCTGAAAGGTAGGCAAAGTCCCAGGAAAGAAGCAGCCGGGCTGGGCCAGGGAGACAGCCCTCCCTCAGGTGTGAGTGGAGGAAGCTGCTCCCTCACTCACCCGTTGAGAGGACTCCCACAGTTGGAGTACTCACACCCTGAGTTGACTCTGGATGGGTCCAATGTACCCTGCTAACTTGGAATTCCCATGGAGTTTCAGAATTAAATACACTTCACTAATTTTAGTGCTTTGCAAATTCTTTGCCCCTATGTGGAATAGATACAGGACAACCACTTAGTGGTATATAAGTCATTTCCCAATCAAGCTGTCATTCCTTCCCTTGTTCCATGGCCATTTATTATGTGCCAAGAAAATATTGACATCACCCTCCACCATGTTCCAAGGCTCTTTCTTTCCTTTCAACGTCCTTCTTCTCCTAGTTTACCTCAACTAAATACTGCAACAAACAGCCCTTCCCTCCCCAATCACACCCTCATAGGCTGTCCTGGAAACCAAACCAGAATGTATGTTCCCTCTTCTTGACCTGGCTTCCCCCAGGTCCTAACTCAATACTGATTCCATAGCTGAGCTAAAGCCATTTCCTTTCCAGCTCCTTTTCTCCAGATGACTTTCTTTGCTGCTCAGATACCAGTTCTCAACTGAGTCATACGGCACAACACAAAAAGAGGGTTTCCCTGCCTCCTCACCCCTTCCCTTGGACCAATAAATTTCCCTTGGAATGCTCCTGAGGCTTCCTTGCCAACCAAGTCGAGGGCTGGAACGGCGTTAAATTGGTCTCAGCACGATGCCTCAGTCTGTACGGCAAAAACTAACACCCACTGTGGACTGATTGCCTAGCCACTCAGAGACTTGGGCTAGGTGCCAGACCAAACGAGAGGAAATGTCCTGGCTCGTGCATCCTTGTTTGCCTTGGTTGCCACGCCAACCAGTGGTCCAGCAGGGAAGCACAACTGGGACTCTGCTGATGGCTCTGCCTGTCTCTTTCAGATAAGCCACTGGCCCTCCAGGTTACAGACTGGGTCCTGAGGGGCACTGCTCAGGTAATGTTTGTCAACAACCCTCTCAGCGGACTCATCATCTTCATAGGGCTTCTGATCCAGAATCCCTGGTGGACGATTGCTGGGGTGTTGGGGGCAGTGGTCTCAACCTTAACTGCCCTCGCCTTGAACCAGGACAGGTGGGTGCCTGTCTGCAGTGGTCGTGGGGTCTTGGTTAGACAGATAGAGAAGTGTGTCCCTGAGTGATCAGCCAACGTTATCCTACCAACCAGCCCAAGTCTCCTAAAGATTAACCTTGAACAGGTCACTGGAGGTCTCTACAGAATTAAACCACTCCTGTGCTCAAAGCAAGTGACAGCACTAAGCTCCTTTTGACGGTAGATCCTTCTGGAAACATTCCCTATGAGGCGGATGCAGAGGAACTCTTAAACTGTTCTTCCCTTATGGAACCTACAGTCTGGTTGACTAACAGGCAAGAAATGTCCCAGAATAATATGAGACGGTATATACCGGAGAGCTCAGAGAAGACAGATGTTTCAGAGTGTTTTGGGGCTGGGGGTATGAGAGAGGGTGGCCTTTGAGCTGGAAACATGGGATCTGAGAGAGAGAAGGAAGGTAGAGTGGGGAGGGCAGCGTGGAGGTGGGAGACAGCTAGAGGAGGGCCCCTCCAACCCAGTGCAGAGCTGGGAGACAGCTAGAGGAGGGCCCCCCCCCCAACCCCGCACTGGTAGCCGCAAAGTCCAGGAACAATAACGAGTAGCATTTTCTGGAACTGGACCATTTTCTCAGACTTTGCCCCATGCTGTTCCAACAGTTCCCAAATTTTCCTGATGGCTAGAGTCACCAGGGCTGGCTGTTAAGAAATGTGACTTCTCCACCCCAACCACTTCTGTTCCCTCAGATAGTCCCATTCAGTGGGTCTGGGAGGGGATGTTTTTAACAAGATCCTCCTGGATGCTTCTGATCATCAGAGAAGTTTGGGAATGCTCATGTTTTTAGTGTTTTTCAGTTTGGGGTCACCAATCCGTTTGTGGATCATGAATCAATTGGCAACAGCATTTTTAAAAATTAAAATAATAAAATAAAATAGATTAGAGTAATTCACGTGTAGGATATTTTGTGACATTTTTGTTTCATTAATGTTGGGATGTGTTGTATATGTGGGGGGTGGGTGAGGTTAGGGAGACTGAGAGAGAGAACTGAGTCATGCTCCTTACCGCGGTATTCCCTCCTTACCGCGGGTTACTGTCAAAAAGATTGAAAAGCACTGTCATGCCTTGTTACATGTGAGTCTTGCCATCACATCACCAGGCAGACAGTGAAAGTAGGAGAAAGACTGGGAGGAGCAGGTATTCACCTAAGGTGCCACAGTCAGTGAGTAGCAGGGCTCGGGCTGCAACACAAAGCCTGCATCTTCTAGGCTGAAGGTCAGTACTGTCCTTGTCATACAGACAGAGTGTGGACAGCAAGGCCAAAGGGCCCCTGGTGAACCCAGGGGATGGGGAGTCATCAGAGTTGGTTGTGTTGTGACCAGCATCACACTTCACCCAGGCCTACCTCACATTCCAGATGCCACCAAGGCAAATTTGTGAGTCAGTTTGTCTCCCCTGAGAAGCCATTCATGCACCTCTGAGGTGGCATTAGGGGAGCACTCTGATTCTAGCAAGCCAGGAGGCCATGACAAATTGGATGAAGGAGAGGCTGAATTATTTTGTGTGCAGGTCTGGTGAGTGACATAAAAAATAGGCTCCAGCCAGGACTTTCTGTCTCTCTTTAACCCAGTAGGTTCCCTATTCCTTGTTTCCAGTTACTTGTCATCTCATGGGCGGCTGGCACAGAACTGGCCCCTGACAAGATTAACTCTTGTCTCACTGCTTCATCACTGTTGGGTAAAACACCAGGGGTGAACTCTGTCCAGCCCACCAGCTCCTTAGCTATGTGACCTTGGGCAAGTACTTCCCCTCCTGGCTCCATTGTCCTCATCTGTGAGATCTGCTGCTTACTGGCTCACCTTCAAGGAGCCAAAGCCCCTTCATGCTCTGACTTCCCTCTTGACCATAATCTACTGGTAAATTTGCCAAGCCATTCAGAGAGTTGCTTCATGGACTTCAGTACTATGGAGGAGACACACACCTAATCCTCCCAAACATTTTAGTAAGACTAGTGCGTGCCAGTTTGGCTTCCAGAGATTTCTCTGCTGGGGCCCACCACATCTACCACTCAGCATCACACTGTTCCCACCTAAGCATTTTTGCTTCTGCCTGTCTAATCCTACCATTCCTTCAAATCTTCCTCCTACAGGGAGCCACCCCTAATTATCCCAGTGCTCTCTGAACCCTCCCTTCTCACTGGACAACCACAGAACATACCCTGGTACTATATGGGTTGGCTCTCTAATTATTTTCTGAGTCTTCTCTCCCTGGCTGTGTTCTAAGCATGTTCAGGACAGGAAGTCCATTTTGAATGTTTCATATTCTACTACTATGTCAAGAAAAGATTCATTGCTGGTAGGTCAGTACCATGTTCTATACCATAGGTTCAAAACTCTAGACACCCTACACAATATCCACACATAAATCCTTCTGAGGAGCCCTGACTTCACCACTGTCCCCAGCAAATCACTGACACAGCTACATGATCTAAATATAACCCCCACCATCCCTCTCTACCCCCCACCCCTGTTCCCCTGACCACCGCTACTTCCTGTCCACCAGTCCTACTCCCCTCCTCCTCCTCCATCAGCCCATGTCCCCCCTTATCCCTGTTACCCTAACCCCGCTACCCCAGAGACTGTAGCTCACAGAGAGTAACTCAAGGTCAACAGCACTAATGCTGCAGTCCTGAAGGAATGTGGTCCTAATGAAGATCTTTTTGGCATTGGGGTTAAACCAAGTTTTACATATTTGATAGTCAGAGCAGATATAAGGTAATGGGTTTCATTCTGACAACCAAACCCGGAAGCCACCAAAGTTTTGGTAGAGAAGTGTTCTGGGAGGGGACTTCCACAGAGAGGGGTTCTAATTTTGTCTCCCCTGGGCTCCCTTGTTTGATTCCTGCTATGCCCACTGCACCCTGCCACTGGGACTACAGGACAGCCCCCAGTATGGGTCAGCCATTTTTTTTCTCAGCTTGCCTGAAGCAACTAGTATTAAAACCAAAAAAGTACTAAATCCTAACACTGAACAGAAATGGGAAAATACAGATAAAATGCACACACACACACACACACAGACTTAAAACTAATTATTTTCCCAAAACATGGGTTTCTGCTTTTTAGGTAGATTTTCTAGTCCCAAGGAGATAGATTCCAAACCCCAGCGGTCTTCCCTCCCAGCCACTCTTCCACCCACCTCATCCTCCCCACCCCCTACCCCAACCCCCGTCTCCAACTGCCCCATATGTTTATGGCCTCGGGAGCAGCCAGCCCTCTAACCAGTGTCCCATACAAGTGTCCCCACACAGTGCCATGTGTTCAGCTTTTCTTGTTGGAAACTGTCTAGAGATACCTCCTCCCACCCTCCAGCTGCTCCCACTCTCCTCAGTCTAGCTGAGCTAATCTCCTGGCCACTCCAGAGCTGAAAGCTCCCCTCATTCCAGACCCAAGCCATGGCCTCTGCCAGGCAGGAGCCATCCTCTAGCCAGAATGCCCTTCTTCCCTCCTTATGCTTCTGGATGCCCTTGCTGGGCAAAGACAATCAGTCTGTGAAAAACTTTAGCATGTACACACACCCATTCAACAACCAAGCAAGGCCTAGAGCCCTCTGTGCACCAGACGCTGTTTTCTGTTACACTGATGTCAGACAGACAAGTTCCAGCCTGGACAACTTACAGTCAAGGGCAGGACAGAGCACAGTACACAAACCTCATGCTCTGGCAGGGGTCTTGCAGTGATTTGCCCAGTCCCTCCTTCACCCTGTTCCCCATCCCCCAGCCAGCTGAGCCATGGGAAGGGTCAAGGGCAGGGTTTATTAGCATCAGGGAGAGAAGTTTAGGAGCACATAGCCTTCCCTGATGAAACAAAAAGAAAGGATAGACTCAAGCTTGGATTCTCCCCACCGCTGGGCCCCTCCCTATCCTGCTGTGGGGAGAGGCTTTTGTGCATCCCCAGCGGGTTCAGCTTGTCCACTCTGGGACACAGGCCAACTGCAACAATTACAGCTTCACACGATGCAGTCAGATGCACTCTGTCCTCCCCCTTCTCTCCCACCCCTCCTCCCTGTCTCCTACACACACACACACACACACACACACACACACACACACACTTTCCCTGGTGTCATACCTCAGGTTTCTATTAGATCTCTCACTAAACTTAGCAGTCTGAGACCCCCTGAGAAGCCAAGAGGGAGCTTAGACACAGTGAGAAGACAAAGTGCATACTTTAATTCTAGAACGGCAAGGTAATCAGGGCCGTGTGTGTGTGCATGTGTGTGTGTGTCAGATCTAGGAAGGCACTAGCAGCTGTGTGACTGCCCAACACTCAGGAGTAAGCTGACTTTCTTCTGGGAGTACCAGGGAGGGCCCTACAAGCCCCACCAAATTCAAATGCAATGTAACTGCCCCCACCCAGGTCTGCCATCGCCTCAGGCCTCCACGGGTACAATGGAATGCTGGTCGGACTACTGATCGCTGTGTTCTCTGAGAAGTTAGACTATTACTGGTGGCTTCTGTTTCCTGTGACCTTCACAGCCATGACCTGGTGAGATGCCTCCTTCTTTCTGCTCACAGACCCGCAGGGCCCCGTGGTGCTTGCATCTTACACTGGATGGGGACATGTGCCCTCCTGGAGCCTAGTGTCTTCAGAGTCAGGCTGGCTCTGACACGTGGCCACAAGACATGGTGGCGTGGCCACAAGACATGGTGAAAATCCATCAGTTTGATTGCAACACAGCAGATCATTTTTTTTTATTTTGGAATAACAGGGATCCTTTAGAGCAGCAGTGACCACAGGTGTTTTATTGTGCTAATAATCTTCCTTGAATCTTAGGTTTAATAACAAAAGGTAACCTTTATTGAATATTTCCTGCAAGACAAGCCCTGTGCTCAGCCAGGTAGGGTTATTTTTGTCCCCAGTTTACAGAAGAAAAGAACAAGTCATGAAGAGGTTAAGTAACTTGCCCCAGGCCATACTTTTACAAAATTTTTGATGATGAACCCAGAGTCTGCAACTGTTAAACTCCAGGCTACATGGGAATTATCTAAACTGTGGCCTGACCAAGATGGAAAAGCTAAAAACTCACTTGTGATAGAATCAGAACTCTCTTGGAGAAGAATGTCTATAGTGAAAGCATAGGATCTTTGAACAAGAAACATCAGTTGAGATCTTGCTGTACAATCACTTCATTCTGCAAAGGAATAAAAAAGTCAAGAGAAAGGGTCTTGGGAACAAATATTTGTTGAGATGAGGGGTGTGCTGTGGCTCAGCTCACCTGGATCTTGGGCAGGTCTTTGCTACCTGATGCTATCATTCTTATGCATGCCGTCACCAAAGAGCAGGAGCCCAAGGTGACCCATGTCCTCCAGTCTGTGCCCCACAGCTGTGAGACATGCTAACTCATTTTCAACACCTCTAAGAAGTACATATCTTTCTTAGATTTCTGGAGTCACTAAAACAGTTAGTTTAAGTACTAATTTATTAAGTTTCAGTTTATTACTTTTTAGCAGTGCTTGTAAATAAATTACTACATTAAGCATTTTGGGAAATTTATGTTTCTTCTCAGGGTTTCTGTGTTTCTGAATCCATTGGGACAAAAACTATAGCAGTCATTTCTATGGGGATTTCCTCAATGCCCCGCACCTGCCCCCATGTAAGGCATAGGAGACCCTGTCTTCATTTGCATACATTTGGTTTATAACAAAAGAGTAAGCCTCTCATGTCAAGATTTGATCATTGCTTTGAAGAAAGCAAAACAGAGCAAGTGGGACAGAGAGGGATTCCAGACGTGAGTGGTCAGGGAAGGCCACTTTCAGGAAGGAGCATTCATGCTTTCCCCTAAATGATAAAAGGCACTTGCCATCTGAAGATCTAGTGAAGGACGTTGCAGACAGCGGTGGTGGCATGTGCAGACCCCAGCTGGAGGAGTGCCCCATGTTCAGGAAACAAGACCAGCGGGGGCTTATGCCCAGTGAATGAAGGAGGAATGGAGGAGGTGAAGGCAGAAGTAAATGAGGGCTAGACCCCGTTTGCTTTGAGGATCCAGTAGGCTTTTGTATTTTTATTACAACTGTGATGGGAAGCAGTTAAAGGGTTTTAAGCAGAGATGTGATAGGATATGGTTTAAATTTAAACAAATCGCTCTGCTTGCCTTGTGGAGAATGGATTTTAACTGGAGCAAGAGCGGATGCTGGAAGCAGAATCAGGAACTCACAGAGAGATGAGAGTGGTCTGGACAAGGGTGATACACAGGAAGGTGGTTGGGTTTAGGATGTATTTTAAGGAAGGTAAAGGCAACAAGACTCTCTGGGAGGCTGTGGAGTTTGGGGGGTGGGAAAGAAAAGAGGATTCAGTACACTCCTATAGTTTGCCTGAGCACCTGGATTGATGGACAAGACTAAGAGAAAAACAGGTTGGTGGTAGGAGACAAGGTGTAAATCAAGAGTTCTGACAGACATATTAGGCTATAGACTTCCAAGTAGACATGTTGACAAGGTAACTGGATGTACAAATCCAGAACTTTGATATGGTCAAGATTTGGAGGGCAGAAGTATACAGAAGACATTTTGTCCATGGGACTAAAAGATATCACCCAGAAAAAGAAGATGAAGAGAAGACCCAAGGCCGAGCCATAGGATATTCCAGTATCTAGATGACTGGGAGAAGAGAGAAAGAACCACAAAGAAGTGACAAGGAGCAGCTGGAGAAGTAGGAAGAAAGCTAAGAAAGGGCAGTATCATGGTAGCCCTGACAGAAAATATTTCAATCCAGTTGGAGCATCCGATTATCAAATGAAGGGAGCAGGGAATGGCCATAGATTTGGTAGGATAGATGTCATTAGTGAACTGGACAAGAGCCACTTGCATGGCATGGAAAGAACACCCACCTGATTGGAGTGGATTTAGGAAAGAAAGGGAGTGGAAAGATTGACCATAGCAATCTGTTGAGGAATATTTGTTATGAACAAGGGCAGGGAAGTGGGGCAAAATAGCCAGAGGGGACATCGGATTAGAGGAGGAGGGTGTTAATAGGAAGAAGATACTAAAGCATTTTGTAAACTTATGAGAGTGTTCCAGAGATAAAGGAGAGACTGCACCTGCAGGAGAGAGAGGAGAGAATTGCAAGAGTGAAGTCTTTGAGACAGATTGGATCTTGAAGCACAAGAGTAAGAATTGGCCCAATAAAGAAAGAGGAATACTTTCATTATGTGACAAAGGCAGAGAGGAAAACTATGTAGGAGCTGGGCAATTGGAGTGTAGAGCTTATGGTTGGGAAAATGAAGCATTTCTCATCTTGTCGTTTCTATTCTTTTATTCTCAACAAGTTGGAGAGTTAATTTGTATGGACTGTGTAGTAGGGTTTTCAGGCAGTCATAAATGCCCATTGGAGACTCAAGGTCATGAATTAAAGGTAGACCAGTCAGCCAGATCATGTGATTTCATGTTTTGTCCCAACAGCTCTTTGAGTGTGAAGACGTAGGGTGTTAAGTGTCTACGGTGGCTTGTCCTTTCGAGGAAACTAAAGTTCAGGGAGATCATTACCTAATGCTGCTCACTCAGCCTATAAATGTAGGAGTTAGGATTTGCACCCAGCTACATCTGCTTCCAACATGCCTGCTTCTCCCAAGGAAGAGGCCAAGAAAAGAGAGGACACAAACAACTGAAGGTTTCATCTTCATATGGTGGCTTCCAGAGTAGCTCAAAGCACTTCAGCTGAATCAAGCCCACACATTACCTTTGTGCCATAGCAGCTGCCTCCTCCAAGACCAGGCTTCTAAAATGTTATCACAGTGCAGGAGAGTAGCTGTTGTACATCCTGATGATTCAAGGGCAATACACATTATTTTCTAAGGATTACGTTTTGTTTAATTTTCTTAGTTTAAGAAACAAGCAAATATTTAAATTATAAAGGTTTATATTCAAGTATTATATTTGCTATTCAAGTATAATTTATAATATATTCAAGTATATTTATACTTTAAAAATGCATCTCTCAAAGATTCACCTTAAATGGAACACCTTATCCCCAGTCCCAGATAAATGGACCACTAGAGTCTCAAAGGAGCCAGGAATGGCTGGGCCAAGGACAGGGGGGCACCATGGACAGAGCTGATGGGACAAGATGGTGTAGACCTAAGGATGAGCACAGATTAACCCTTTGTCTTGCTCATCTTCAGCCCAGTTCTTTCCAGTGCCTTGAATTCCATCTTCAGCAAGTGGGACCTTCCTGTCTTCACGCTGCCCTTCAACATTGCTATGACCCTGTACCTGGCAGCCACCGGCCACTACAACCTCTTCTTCCCCACAACACTGGTGGAGCCTGTGTCTTCAGTGCCCAATATCACCTGGACAGAGATGGAGATGCCCTTGGTAAGTTACCCAATGGCAGATGAGTGGGGACCCCTGCTTATACCACACACCTTCTTGATAACTGGTTTGTGGATTATCCAGGCTCTCAGCTTCTCCAGATGCATCTCCACCAGATGATGGTCATAGTAGAGAACAGGACAGAGAAAAAGGCTGCTGTACTTTCAACAAACCCTCATTGAAGGTCTGATATGTACCAGGCACTTTATCAGACACTAGGAATACACGGGGAATAAAAAGACAACAACTTCTCTGCCCTTGTGAAGTGTACTCTCTGTACAGGGAAACAGACAGTAAATAAGTGCATAGGTCAGTACCAAGTTAATTATACAGAATGGTAGGGTTCAGGGAAAAATACTCAAGAAGGTGGATGGTTGGGTGAAGGGGCCAGATACTAAAACAAATGTTTAAAATTAGGGTTTTAAAGGTCTTATCAAGAGAAGATAGGGATGAATTTTCATGTACTTTCCGTATCAGTGACTTTCAAGCAGGGGTGACTTTGCCCTCCTGGAGGGAGGAGGCAAAATTTAGACTGGGGGGAGGGGTGCTACTGGTATCAAAAAGTCAGGGATGCCACCAAACATGCTACTATTCACAAGACAGCCCTCCCCATAACCAAGAATTATCTAGCCCCAAATATCAATAAATATCGAAGTTGAGAAACCCTGCTTCACATCCAACTATCACAAATGTACATATTCATTTATTCTACCAATCTCTAGACACTTGGGATAAAGGGATATAATAAAAGCCTAACACAAGATTAAATAGACAGAATTGTAAAATTTGGCCTTGTTCATGAACAATAGAGAGAGCTAACAGCTAAGGCTACGGCAAGCTTATTACGTATCAGACACTGTTCCAAGCCCTTGACTTCCGGACTTAATTTAACCCTCCTAATAGCCCAATGCTGTAAGTACTATCATCATTCCCATTCACAGATGAGAAAACTAAGGCACAGAGAAGGTTAGCTGCCCAAGCTCAAACTGCTGCTAGTGCCTGAATATAAAACCCAGGCAGCCTGATGTAGAGCCCAGGCTTTGACCCATCACCCACTTAGTCCCAGGTGAGACAGACACCCTCATCTGGAACAACCACAGTGAGGTGAAACCTGCTTCTCAATGCAGTTCACCCCTCATTAGGTACTGTGAAGTATTAGAGAGCTCTTTACCTTCCTCAGAAATCTGTCCCCCTCCATCTTTCACCCATTGGTTCTAACTCGGCTGTTTAGAGTAATTCAGAATATTATTTCTATGATTGCCTTTTGAATACTTGCACATAGAACGACATCCTCTTATGTAGTCTGCTTTCCCAGCCCTCACCACCCAGCTGAGCCCATCATCAAGATGGGCTGCTGGGGGCTCAGCTCCAGGGCCACCACTCGTGGGTGGGGAGGACAGTTCAGGGGTTTCAGGGTCAGCCACACTCGGACCTGAAGCTATCAGAAAAGGAAAGTCTTCCCTGCCCCTAGTGCAAATGCTAACTATGCAAAACCTTTTTGAATATTTTGTCTTTTCAAAGTTTTGTCTGGGGCAGGGGCTGGAGGGGCATCAGAGTCAGGGTTAGGATCTAAATCCAAGAGAATGGAAAAGACAGAACCCTGCATTGGAGGGAAAGCCCACTGTCTCAAGTAGAAAATGGCAGGGGCAGGAGCAGGGACAAAGCTCTAACTCTGAGGGGACTGTCAGTGATCATCAGCTGGCAGTTAGGCACATTGCCATAAGGGCACAGACCTGCAGTCCCTGAGCCCTACCCATGAGGCAGAGTCCCAGTAACAGCCTCGGGGGCATGGGTGTTGCCCATGGAGCCTCCCACCCTCCTCACTGAGGGGCACAGGATGGAGACGGCCACCTGCGAGAGATGCCTCTCATTCATCTTCAAAGTGAACAGAAAGTGGCAGCATGCAAATCCATATACCCTGAGGCACCAGCTCACCCACCACACCACTACTTTCACAGTGGGCTCCTTCTCTTCCACACCATCCAGGTCCCAACTCCCCTTCCCTCCTTGTCTTTTAAACAATGATGAGAATGACTTCCTTTTTGTTTAACTGGCCTTTCTTGTTACTAGAGGATTGTCGAGAGTAGGCAGTAGGAAGGATGCAGGGGCTCAGTAAATTTCCATGCACACCCGACTGCCCTTCACACCTTCACCCCAGGGTGTTGGAGAGCAGGTGGAAGGGAGGGGTGCCACCCCAGGGCCACAGTTCACCAAGCTAAAATATGGATCCCGGCAGAGGAAGGTGCTTTCTGAGCCCAGACTCTGTTCTGAGGCTACTTGTCCCTCATTCTTCTCATTCTTGACTGCTTGGGCTTCAAATCTGTGTTCCCAGACAGCAAGGGGGAAGTTGGAACCCTCTTTGCATCCTGCATGCCTCAGACTTTGGGAAGTCATGGAATATTTATTGAGTACATTTTCAGCCAGTACCCCACACTTAAGCTGAGTTCCCTGAACTGGCAGAAAGCATTCTCAGGGTTCCTTTAAATAAGATGCACACCCCCATCATTCCTGGCATGAGGCTCTAGGCTCTGGCCCAGACAGTGCTTGGTAATTGAAAGGCCACCCATCCAGAGACCAGGATGGGCAAAGCTTAAAAAGCTCTGTGGGACTCCTCAAACACTGTTCTCTAAAGAAATCAGACTGACTCCAGAATTAAATCAGGTTGTTAAAAAGTACAAAATTTCACCCAAAGGGAGATGTGCAATTAATTTCCAACATCTACAGCAGGTCATGTATAACTAACTCAGTGGTCCCCAAACTCAGTTGCACTTGGGAATCTCCTGAGGACCTGGTCATGCCCCATACCAGTTAAATCACAATGTCTAAGGAGGAGCCAGTCATCAAATTTTTTTTCTAGGATTTCCAATTTAGAGCAAAGTTTGGAAACTGCTGAGCTAATCAATACATATTTATTAAGCACCTATTATGTACCCCGCCATCAAGGAGCCTGGCCCTCAAAGAGGTCACATGACATAGTAATAGAGCAAAGACAGCAGAATTTTAAAGGTGGGAGATTATCTGCTATGGCAGCCTTCTCATGTTACAGAGAAGGGCACCAGAGCCCAGCATGAGGAAGTGACATACCCACCATCATTCCATGAGCTTGTGCAAAACTCCCCTGAAAGCTGGAGCCCTCAGCTCCCAGGCCAATACTCTTCCCTAGCCTGCCAATCTCCCTTCTCTCCTTCAGGCCCTCCTCTGTCAGATGTAGATGGTTCAGCTTGGGCAGAAAAAGGGCCATCTGACTCCCAAATTAGCCATCTACAATTACAACACCCTCAAATGACTCTCAAACTCGGGGATGTTTGGCTTTATTCTGTTTTTCAATGGTATACATATTATCTTTCTACAAATGCTAAGTGATCCTCGAGCAGGAGAAATGCCACCTCCTTCCCAGAGCCCCATAATACCCTAGGTAGCTCTGAATGTGCAGCAACCACCTCTAGACTAGGGGTCAAGCTCAGAGGCTCTAGCCTGGCCTTAGGCACCAATGATCTGGGTGACCTTTGACGAAATCAATCATCAAAATGGCCTAGAATATTTCCAATATTCCTGGAATACCTGTAGGATGTCAGAAGGTCTGGTGGAAATCCTCTAGTGCCCTGAAACTTCCAATGGCATTCTCAGGAGAGGGTGCCCTCTGGTTCTCTCAAAGCTCCTCCTCTCAAAGCAGAAGCCATGTGTCTTTCAGAAGCACCTGTGTTGGGAGGGTTTTGCATGGGGGATGCCAGATGCCTGCTAGGTGGTGGAGTGAGGAGCTATTTGTTCCAGCTCATGTCCTTCCTCCCAAGTTCTCTTCCACGCTAGAGGGCACCGCCATCATCCCGTTCCAACCCATTACCCCCACCAGGAATGGCTTTGTCCTGACCCTAAGGCCTGCTCTTTTCATTATGTGCCCACACTCCAGTGACCCCAGATTCTGTTGACTTTGCAGCTGCTACAAGCCATCCCCATCGGGGTTGGCCAGGTGTATGGCTGTGACAATCCCTGGACAGGCGGCGTGTTCCTGGTGGCTCTGTTCATCTCCTCGCCACTCATCTGCTTGCATGCAGCCATTGGCTCAATTGTGGGGATGCTAGCAGGTAGGACAGGGTCCCCTCTCTGCAGGGAGGACCTTGGGATAATTTTCCTGAGGTCATTCCATCCCTGCACAGGGCAAATAATCTAGACTTGTTATCTTCACTGGTGTTTTTGAACATTGTCAGGGGAGAGACTTATTTTTCCCTTTCTTGATTTTCCAAAGTGAGCAGACTGCCGCAGCAGGATATGTGGGGACACATGCAAGGGGCTGAAGACCTCATTGGCTACCTGAGCCCCTGGGAGCTGAGGGGTGGAAGGAAAGGGAGGGTCACTCAGAGGCCTGGAGAGCAGTAACAGACGGAGGAGTATAAATGACCCAGTGCTTTGAAATTTGGAGTAAACTAAAAGAAAACAATTTCTCAAAAACTGTATTCCTATTTGACAAATGTGATTTAATATTTCTGCGTGTAGGCATATGTATGTACATGCATTTATATATGTAAATATGCACAGTAGAGCCAGAAATTGGAGTCGGGCACATAGGACTAGGATCCTGTTGACTCATTCCAATGTTTTTCAGAAACATCTTGGAAGCAGAACTTTAAAAAAATCATTTGAAAATAATTTTGAATTTATCAAAAAATTATAAAAGTAAAAATGGTACATGAAGCACCCATAAATTCTTTGCCTGATTCACCTGTTGTTCACATCCTGTACTTCTATTTGTCTATCTCTATACATCTGTATGTGTATATACATACTTTTCCTCAACCATTTGAAGCAGACCTTTTTCATTTGAAAAGTTTCTTGCTAAAAATGCAGCTACTCAGACCAAAGGTGTGGAGAATACCTAGAATCCCAACGCCTTGACCTCCTCTCACCCTGAAAGTAGTCACACCTCTGTGTGAAATCTTCAAGCCACAGTTTGGGAACCACTGCTGTCCTCTTGTTGCTGGTTCCTGAAGACCAGATGCCATTTCTAGAGGCTCTTTTGATGGGATGGGGGAGGAGTGTGGGGAGGGGATAGCAGGAGTGAGGCCATCCTGAGAGCTGGCACCAGCCACGAGGTGGCCTTTGTGTGGGGACCCAGAACTGACCAGAAACGTCACACCTTGTTCCACAGCCCTGACGGTGGCCACGCCCTTCGAGACCATCTACATGGGCCTCTGGAGCTACAACTGTGTCCTCTCCTGCATCGCCATAGGGGGCATGTTCTACGCCCTCACCTGGCAGACGCACCTGCTGGCCCTCGTCTGTGGTGGGTATTTGGGGAAGCTGACCACCAGGTCACTCTGCAATTCCTTCCTTCCCTCCCTACTTGATTATGCAAAACCCATGAGGAACATCAATCGGAACTTGGTAGCAGTTCTAGAAGGACCTGTGGCTTGGGTCCCAATGGGGGACTTGAGGTTCCTCTTCTGTGAAATGGAGTCACAACCATGCTTACTGTTTTTTATTGACACAGTGTTGTAAGTTTCCAAGGAGATCACACATGCATTTCCTCAGGTGCTAGTGGCAGTGTTCCGGTATAATAACTTCATCCCACAACCTTTTAGAGAACACCATGTAGTGCCACGCCCTAGGCTATGCATGGAAGATACAGTGGTGACCACATTGTCATGAAGCCACATCTAGAGGAAGAGCAGTTATCACACAATCATTAAGGCTGTGATGTCTGAAACGATTATTACAAAGACCCAGTGAGATGACATACCTGGGAGCACTGAGGTGTCAGAAGATCACAACATGGGAGCTTGATTTCCATGGAGTAAGTAGTGCACTGTCCCAAGGGAAATGGGCGCGGGCGCTCTCAAAGCTGCACCCCAGCGCCACATACAAACTCAGTCCTCCCAGATCACTACCAGGCATAGATTGTCAGCCCATTGTACACCCTGGTACCCAGAAGGTTTAATGAACTTAATCTAAAACACAGCTACTGAGGGCAGAAGCAAGATTCAAACCCCAGCCTCATCTTTCCCCCAGTTTTCCTGCCCTGGAGTTACTTACGTTTTCTGGAAACAGCAGGACTTTCATAAGCAAAACTGGAGACAAGTAAAGGGCAGAATAACATTCAGAAGAACTTTTTCCCCGTTCATATGTGGAGACTGTAAATGACTTCCATGTATGTCTATTGTATTCCCCTCAGCAGCCAGCAAGGAGACAGTAGGCTCGGTAAATATCTGTCAAGTCAGAAGTGCCAGATATTTTGAAGCTAAGACTGTAACTGCCTTTGGTCTTTGGAGAAGTGGCACATTCCTGTGGCTAGAACCATCTGGGAAAGCTTTGCAGGGAGGACGGGGTTTATCTCAACGCTTCCAGGATGGGAATTGGGTAGGTAGAGACAGGGGAAGAAGGTGTTCTGGACAGAGGAACAGAAAGAGCAAAAATGCAGGGGCATAAGAAGCTTGTCCAGAAGCACAAGGGCGTGGTTGAGCTCCCCTACCTGTCCTGGGGGCCACACCCTACAGTGAACCCCGAAGCCTGGATCCTAGGGACAAGTTCACAGACCAGTAAGGTCCAGTTCTGGTAAGGCTTGGTGCGGGTCCAACAAGTTCTATCAGGGCCGCTCAGAATCTTGGATGGGAGGAGCCTTGTTGGGGGTTCATATAGTCTGACCACTCATTCCTAAGACAGATAATAATCCAGCCACACATCCCCAAGGTCAGCATGGACAAGCAAAAAATACTTACTGACCCCTGAGTGTATGCAAGACCACCATAGAAGTGCGGAGGAGAAAGAAGGCTTTAATCTCTGCCCTCAGAACACAGTCTGATGGGAGATTGGTCACACCTACCTGCAAAAAAAAAAAAAAAGCTACCATAATAATGTCAGGCAAATATGCCAGATGTCAGGATGTGGTGAGACACCAAGGCTGCTGGAGACAGTATAGGACCCCTGCCCTGGGGAAGAGGTGGGGGCAAACCCTGGGAAGCTGACTCCATGGTCCTTGTTTTTCCACAGCCCTGTTCTGTGCATACATGGGAGCAGCCCTGTCCAACATAATGTCGGTGGTAAGTCTGGATTCTCCTGAACATGCCTGTCCCAGCCAGGGCTTTAGGACATTTACAGTTTGTGAAAGAATCCTGAATGCATTCTGGTAGCTTGTATCCACACAATGCCTTTGTCAAGGTTTATCCAGGACAAATGTCCAGAGAAGGACTGGAAATTGCATATATGTGCCTGTGAGGTGTGTTGGAGGTGGCTGTGTGTGTGCACAAAAGAGTGGTATAACCAGCAGTGGAGAACCTAGATGGACAGATGGAGGTACTTGTGTGTGGCTGGATGTGGGAAGTCGTACCTAGGCTGATTTTCAACTCCATCATTAAAAGATTCTGATTGTGCCCAAAGGTACCAATATCTCAGATTCCTAGACCAAACTAACCTTATCTTATGAACCTAAAAACCAATGTCATCAATAGGGTCCTCAGCTGCTACCACAGCCTTCTCCCCCAGGGTCCCTGGAGCCTAGGACCATTTTCAGACCCCAATGCTTTTGCTTCCAGATTGGTGTGCCGTCAGGCACCTGGGCCTTCTGCCTCTCCACCCTCATCTTCCTGCTCCTGACAACCAACAACCCTGCCATCTATAAGCTCCCACTCAGCAAAGTCACCTACCCAGAGGCCAACCGCATCTACTACCTGACAGTGAAGAACATTGAAGAAGAGAAGTCCCCCAGCGGTGACTAGCCCATTTCTAGACTGAAATGCTCTTTGCCTGGACCTGGTGTCTGCTCCCTGTGGTCTCAACTCTGGGTCAATCAGCAACAGCACTCACCTTCTGTGCCTCTCCTTGCACCTGTGTAACCAAACACACCTGTACCTCCCTTATCCTGATGGCTGATTTTTCTCTCTCTGCACAGATCACCATAACTATCCATGTGTGACATTAGAGAATGTTGGTATGAGCTTGCTGGAGTTAGAAGTAAGACATGTGCTTTAAATGTCATTGTCTTAAAGCAAAAATGTTTCTATTTAGTCTTTTGGGAAGATGATTACAAGATGATCTTCTTGGCATGTTTAACTAAATAATAGATGCTGTAAAATTGAACTTGCTGAGTGGTTCCTAGGCAGATACAGAAACAGAGTGTGTGGAAATTCAGGGGATATGCACAAAGAGTTGAAGGTGCCTTAGTGCGCTTAGCTAGTGGTTGATGGGCACACCCAGCTTTACAAAAAAGAGGAATTTCACACTGATAGACTGTTAAAGTCAAAAGAGATAATTAGGGAATTGGGAGTGTCTAAATAGGATATTTCAAACATTCATTGGTCAGAGGAAAGGGCAAGATGATATCTAATAGCAGGAAGCAATTAATAAAGATTAGAATCCCATATATGAGTTTTATTATGGAGGATAAAATTATGAAGGATAAGCATTTCTTAGTATAAGTCAAACCAGCAACTTTGAGTAGAGATCTCAATTGAGAAAAGTATCTGATTTCAATGTGTGAAAATCTGGGGAAATTTATTTCATTTTCCTATTTGCTTATGGGTGTTGGAAGCTTTATCAAGTCTGTGATACTTAAAACAAATGGTTAGGGGCGCCTGGGTGGCGCAGTCGGTTAAGCGTCCGACTTCAGCCAGGTCACGCTCTCGCGTTCCGGGAGTTCGAGCCCCGCGTCAGGCTCTGGGCTGATGGCTCAGAGCCTGGAGCCTGTTTCCGATTCTGTGTCTCCCTCTCTCTCTGCCCCTCCCCCGTTCATGCTCTGTCTCTCTCTGTCCCAAAAATAAATAAACGTTGAAAAAAAAAATTAAAAAAAAAAAATGGTTAGCCTGAGTAGGACCAACAATTATCCATGAATTTCATACTTTAACTTCCCAATTACAGCCATTAGCTTACATTCAGTCTTTATATGTAGATCAGGGCTCAGCAAACTTTTTCTGGAAAGGGTCAAATAGTAAATATTTTTTATTCTGTCTATAGAAAGACTCACTTGTGTCATTATAGCATGAAACAGTCTTGGACAACATATAAATGAATGAACATGGTTGTATTCCAAGAAGACTCTATTAAACAAACAAACTAGTTTGGACCCAAAAGCTGAACTTAGCCAGTGCCTGACATGGATGTTCAAATAATAATGGTTAGGAGCTTGTGGGCAGCAGGCCCATAGGACATCACCAAATTCTTTACAACAGACAGCCACATAACCATTTATATGCTGGGTGATACTGGAAGCTTTTTAGGAAAGTGAGATTACTATGGCCAGAATCTGGAAAATCTGAGGCTCTTTGATAGACCCCAGGCACTAGGGGCTACAGTTTTAAACAGGCTCTCCTCCCACGGAAATGTCTGGGAGCCACCCCTAAGCTTCCCCCTCCTCCATTCCCTCACTCTGTTTCCACCTCTGCCAACAGGCATACCACCATGAGAGCGGGGGAGAAACCTGACCTTTAGTACAGAAGTTTCCAGCAGGAAGAGCAGGGAGGCTCCTAGAATCCCAAGCTTGGAGGGGAGTAGTGGTGAGGGCCAGAGGGTCCTGCCATTCTGAGATGCATGAACCCCTCTATACAAAGGATGGGGGCTTCAGTTCCCTGCCAGGCTTCCAGGCAGGACTAAATTACCCAAAAGGGAGGGGAGAGCCACCCCCAAAACATTCTAACAAGAGATAACAGAACCAGTTGACCTGTTCATTCTTTATGGACAATTGCACCTGGAAACCTACTTAAGCCCAGGAGACTCTCCACCCCAAGAACTGGATCTGATGGGAGCTGTGTTTAAACTGTGCTTTGTATTGGATTTCCAGGACAGGAAAACTATTTGGGGGTGTATGTATGTATGTGTGTGTGTACTTGGACAAGAGTGTCTCTTGTCCGTTTCTTTCTCACCCCACGTCTCTGTCATTAACAAGGTCCACTTCAGTTACAGGTATTGGGTTTTTTTTTTCTCCCAAGTTCCCACTTTCACCCCTATAGAAATTAAATGTTAACTGCATTGCCAGCTGTCAAACTCAATGAAGAAACATGGATAAAAGCTAAGTGGTTCAGAAAAAGGAAAAAGTATGTTCAGCAAAAACCATAGGGCCTCAGAAATTCTATAATACACTATAATAAAGATGGCCAGATATGTAGGTAGAAATAGGAAAACACCTACTAATTTAGAATAAGAAAGAACTGTCTGGATGAAGTATTGGGAATCACTGAATTCTTGCCAAGAGATGTTGTCCAGGAGTGATGAAATGTTTTCAAAAGACATCTTTTGGGATTAAGAGGCAGAAAATCGATGGTATTTCCCCAATGTGGTCAAACAGGCTCCTCCTAGAGCAGAACAAATCTTATTAAGCCAGCCTGGTGGGCAGATGCTTTGTGTCTCTCATGAGCATGGAGAAGGGTGGGGCAGAAATGAGAATTTCCCATCCCTCTAAGAAAAGTCAGCCCTATGCAGGTCCTGCGCGTGGGCCATAAACAGATGCCCAGATGTCCTCTGAAGTAGCCCAAATAGTGATCGGGGGGTTGGAGAACTCCCTGCAGTGACCTTGTCCTGACTTCACCAGCTCCTTCCCATCCCACTGCCCCCCTGGATGAGTAGGGGCAGGAGCTTTAACAGCAGAGACACTACCACCAACATGAGGTTGCACAGGAGCGAGCCACCAGGAGAGAAGGAGAAGAGATTTGGGGTACACATGCCAGCTGCTTTGCTGCTATCATCCTAAACTCTAGGCAGCAGCTCTTGGGTGCACAAATGGTAGTTGGACGTAAATATGGCTGAACATAAATAGGCATTAAAAAGAGAAGGAATGTATGTTGGGCATCAGGGGACAGTAGAGGAGGTGCTGTCCTAACCTGTCCCAATCACACCCCCCTCCCTGTCTCCACTATTCCCTCCTCAGACCTTCTCATTTCCTCCCTCTGACCTCATCATCCCCACCCCCTTTCCAGTCTCCTCTACTCCTCACGGAAGAGCTCCACTGTCTGCCATGAAACAGTGTCATTCTGCTGTATTTTTAAATGATCAATCTCAGCTCATCTTTCAGTCTTGTCTATGATAACTGACATAGCCAAGTTCCATAGTCAAGTTCTCTACGTCTTCTTGGTCAAAACTTCAGTTTGTTTGCTAAGAAATAATGCATCTTCTTTAGATTTAAACCAATGTTGCCATAGTGTTACTCATAATGTTCTCATACAGTAATTTCAATCCGTCCTGTATCTATGGCTCTCCTTTCTCTTTCCAGTCTTATGGAATTTTGCTCTCTCTTCCCTAATCAAGTATGTGAGGGGTTCATCCATTTTATTGTCTTTTTCAAAGAAGCAGTTTGAGATTCATTTGTCCTTTCTACAGTTTGGTTTGTTTTCTATTTTATTGATTTCTTTTTCCTGTTTTCCCATGATTTATTTAAATGTTCATTTTCTCCTAATGTTTTAAAATTGATGTGAAGTTTCTTCATTTTACATCTTTCTCCTTAACAACAAAGGCATTTTAAGGCTATTAATTTCCCCCTGAGTACAACTATAGCTGTGTGGTATAGGTTTTGGAATAAAGTATTCTACTTTAATCAGTTTTTAAATAGTTTGTAATTTTAGTTTTGATTTCTCTTTGGTCCAAAAATTATTTAATGTATTGCTTAATTTCTAGCACTTGGGATCTTTTGATATATTTTAATTTTGTATATCTAGTTTTATTAGATTATGAGCAGAAAGGATGGCCTGTAAAATCTCTATTTTAAAATTATATGAATCTCTCTTTGTAGCCAAGTATTTGATTGATTTTGGAGATAAAAAATGCAAATTTTTGATTTGAAGGAAATACATATTAAATTTATTTATTAATTGCATCATTCAGTTCTTCTATGTGCTTGTTTATTTTTTGTCTATAGGATCTTAATTCTGGAAAGAGTTTATTAAAATTCAACCATAATTGTATAGTTTCATGAAACTCTCTGCATTTTTATGACATTTGTCTCAAATATTTAGCAACTACCTTGTTTGGTGCCCATTGACTATAACTGTCATTGATTTTTCATAAATGTTATCTTTTACTATTACACGCTACCTATTTCTATCCTCATTCATGCTTTTAACTTTATTCCAACCTGACATTAATGTTGCCATACCTGTTTTTCTTTCTAGTGTTTTCTTATCCCTTTGTTTCAACCTTCATCATTTTCTTTTAACTGTATTTCTTAAAAATAGCATTTAACAAAGTTTTTGTATTTAACCTAATCTTAGTGTTTCTATAATTTAATAGGATAATTTAATCTCTTCCTATTTAGTGTAACCATCAATATGCTGGTTTTACTTCTTCCACCTTACTTTATTTTGTACCATTTATTTGTGATTACTGCTTTTGCTTTTTCAGTTTCCTCATTTGGCAAGTTTGATCACATTATCATCTTTTTCTTTCTTTCCTTTGTTCATTTGGAAGATCTACCATTCTTTTCCATTTCACTAGTCATTCCTGCTTCTTTTCCAACACTCATGATCAAAAGTATATTTCTCTATTATTATATAAAAACAAGATGCCAAATAGTTTACCCTGACAAGATTTCCCATTTCTCCTTCCCCACTCTGAGGAACTAAAGCCCATATGCCACTTTCACTATTCTCCTACCCTAAGCCCCCATTCTTACAATCTTTTACTTCTCCAGCATCACCCACCCCTGGATCTATGCTGAGATTATCATTTTCAGTTTTTTTCCCTTACCTCTCATTTTTGCAAGAATCCTTCCTTGGCCTCTATGCCCC